GACGGCAAGAGAAATGCCAGATGATCTATGGTCCAATAGAGAGGCATGGTGACTGAGAGCGGAGAAACAGCGACAGCTGTAGAGCAACTCCGTACTATATATATAAATATTATTAAAATTAAAATATTTTCTCATGCCTATTGCCCAGCATTTGTCAGATGATCAGTAGCAAGTAATGAGCAGATTCCTGAGGTACTTTTCACAAAAATAACATTAACCTACACATTAATAAATTAAAAACTACAATTATATTTTTTCTGAAATTGAATAATAATTTGATGAACTTTAATACACGACAAAACATATTAACCATAATTACTTTCATAAATATTACACTCACGTGGTATCAAGGAAAAGTATATCAACATTCAGTCCACTTAGAGCTGGATATTTTTCCATTTGTGAATCTGCACGGAAATCACCCACGTGAAGGTAGCTTAGTCCATTCTGCAGTTCAAAGAGGAACATCAAAGAACCTGGACAGCTGAAAGTTCAGTTGTTATACACCATTTGATAAAATATACCCATTACTCAAAAGACAGTGGAACTCACTGGTTGGCATGAAGTGGGGTTACTTTCACATTTTTTATAAAAGATGCTTCCATGTGTTTTACAACATTTAGATATTTTGATTCAACTCTCAGCTTCTTCGCGACTAGGGCAGCTATGGAGAAAATATCACTAATGCTGAAATGTTCAAAGTAGTCCAAAAATTTCAAACTGATATAAGTGCACACCTGTGATTGAACTGCAGACTATAATTTGCTTGAATTTCTTCGAAAGTCCACAATAATGATCAGCATGAAAATGAGTTAAGAAGTAATGAGTCACGCCGGGTATCATTCCATACTGAAATGCATCAACAGCAAACGATGTGCCTGAAATGCAAGTTAAAAAATTACTAATATATTAAATGAGAGGTTTGCTACCACAACCAACACACTCCATTGGATAAGATTTTACAAGACAAACAAATATCGCTTGCATGCGCGACCTATGCACCCGATACGAAGTGGAGTAAATTTCTCGGATTCATTCACATTCACTACTTTCTCATCCCGAGTGTAGCCAAGGTCGGTTGGAAGCTGTCCGGGGATTGAATTGCCCGCAGTTGTGGCCTATACTTCACTCGTTAGCCGGGTGGGAATGAGACGATCTCGGCCTGAAATCTCCCGGCTGATGGCATCTCTACTCCGGCACTTCGGTGTTCTCCGCCATGTCGCAAAAGTCGTCCTTGCAACCTTACCAAGCGATTTTCATTTCTCGCCCCCCTATCAAAGAAAAAATCGAATGGCTTCTTTCTGGCGCGACTGACTAATCCGTAAACAAATTTTGCTATCACTCGCACTTTCACCATCTGGGATGGCACAGTGGCAACTGAGGATCTTCAACATCGTTGTCAGGGAGCTCTTAAAAGCTGGCTTTACACTTGCAAGAAAATGGCGAGCAATATTAGTTCGCAAGAAAAGTTGCCAATGTAAACATTACGGCAATAAATATTTCTGATTTTGGCAATATTTCTTGCTAGATATTCCAGTCCGCATATATCTACGTTTCCGCAATAACTTTCAGCAAATTATTTCTGCTTCTTGCGATCATCTTTACACTAGCAAGAGCAAGGAAGGGCAATATATTGCCAGAAAGATCTGAGCAACATATTGGCGATCGCTTTACATTAGGACTATTTGTTGCAGTGTTTCGTTACGGCCTGAGGAAAATTGTGCATGAAAATAAGTGACATACCTCACTCCCTTCCCGACATATTAGTAGTGGAGGGCAGAAGATACGAGTTGCGGTCGCACTTATTGCGCTATATGGGGAGATGTAGTAACGCTGACGATTTGTGAGGACGTGTGACTAACTTTTAAGAAGGAAAAGGGGGCTTGTGCAAATTAGGTAGAGGTGTCTGAATATTTTTCATAAAACAAAATGATTTCGTGGATTTCGATTCCCGTGGAAGCAAAGTAATTTTCTTTTAATAAAAAGTGCAATTACTAATTAGGCGAAAAGTTTAAAAATATCAATTTCCTACAACTGATTAACTATAGAGCAATCTTAAAATTGATTTAGATTATATTAATATCTTAATAATTTTGAACGTAAAAAATCAATAATCAGAGGCACCTATGGCTGAATCAAAATTTGAACATTTGATAATCAACCATAGAGGGAATATTTATTACTATTTTTATTGTCGTAAACCTTTTTCACACAATCATTTTACGAAAAAATGTATATTAAAATGCAAATATTAATAACGTAAATAAAATGGAAATATTACAGTAAACAGTGGCAGTATTTACGGAATTGTTGAATGGACTTGTAAATAGACATATACTACAAAATACGTCCCGCAGCTCCGAGGATATCTGGTGAAATGCGCCAAATTATCTATGACAGGGACACTGCGTATAAAGTGTTTCGGAAAACAAGAAACAACAAAGACCATGCTACTTATAAAAAACTTAGAAATCATGTCACCCAAATGTTAAGAAATGCCAAAATTGAATATTTTCACTCCATTTTTCAAAATAACTGTAATTCTAAATTGCTCTGAAAAAACTTGCGAACTATTGGTGTTGGAAATATTCGAAATTCAACAAAAATAAATGTGCCACTTGGTTTGCTAAATCAAGTTTTGTTAAGCTTGCGCAGCCAATAAATCCATTCCTAAAATATCGAACGTTATCATCGCTGAGAAGCATAGATATTCGTATTACAGACACTTTCTACTTTGCGTCAGTAACTCCCACCGACGTCACTAAACTCATTTTAAGTCTAAAATCAAACGCCTCCGGTTCCGACGGAATCAATACAAAGTTGCTGAAGCTCGGACCTGAAGTAGCACTCCCAACAATTGTAGACATAATAAATTTCTCGTAAATGAGCGGCGAATTTCCCTCGGCCTGGAAGACTGCACTTGTTCATCTTCACCCTAAAAGCGCCAATCCTAAGACGCCTGTTGATTACCGTCCCATCAGAATCTTGCCAACATTATTAAAAGTTCTCGAAAAGATCGACATCAAACAGATTGAACATCACCTTCAAAATTTTAGTATTTTGAACAAAAAACAGCCAGGGTTTAGATCCGGTAAAAACACGGAAACTGCGCTCCTCAGTGTAATTGAAGACCAGAAATGCAAAGGACAACGGTAAAATCACAATTCTTGTCCTCGATTTTAGCAAGGCATTCGATTCTGTCGACCACGATATTTTGTTAGCAAAGTTAAAAAACATTGGCCATATCCACACTCAAATGGTTATCCCGTTATCTCTCTGACCGGCAACAAAAAGTTGTGTGCAGTGACAGTGTGTCATGTACATGCACGTGGCGTTGCACAGGGCGCAGTGTTACGACCCCTCGCGTTCGTTATTTATGTTAATGACAGAGACAAGTCAATAAAAAATTGTTGTCACCACATGTATGCTGATGATCTCCAATTGTATATTAGCGGACCACCTCGCGTTTTCGAAATGGCTAAAAAAATCAACGATGACCTACATAGTCTCTCCTCTTGGTGGTCTTCAATGGGGCTACTGCTAAACCCCAGCAAATCTCAGTGTTTTGTAATCGGCTCCAGAAACTCCCTAAAAAAGTTATCACTCTCCGCTCTCCCCGATATTTGCATAAATGGACCTCCTCTACCGTCGTGAAACAAAGTGTGCAACTAATCTAAACTGGAATGTTCAAAATGATAAAATCTGTCAAAAAGTGTTCGCGTCCCTGCATGTTTTGAAATGAATGTGAATTCTTTTACCTACAAAAACCCGTCAGATCTTGGCACAATCCCTCCTCATGCCCCATTTTGATTACTGCGATTTCCTATTGACTGACATAAATTTAAAACAGCAATTGCAAGTAGCTCAAAATGCATGCATTCGTTTTATTTTCGACCTTAAAAAATACGATCATATTTCAACTTTTTACGCGAATTCTAAAATTCTTACCGTTGATAGAAGGCGTTTACTTTACTGCCATTTTCTTCTCTACAAGAATTTAAACAGCGCTCATCATGCCACCTCACAACGATTTCAGATTATGAAGCTACATCGTGCCCGAACGCCACGCCTTATTTGTATTCCGCACCACAATACCTCTACTTTTAGCAAATCACTGTTACTGTCATTCGTGTTTGGAACAATCTTCCCTCCTCTATAAAAAATAGTTGTACATTTCAAAAGTTTAAAAATAAGTCACAAAGTGGATTCATGAAAATACTACTTAACAACATTGCCATTGCTCGTCTGCTAATCCTGAGATCTGGATGGACGACGTGCTGTATCAGCGATGTGACGAATCTCTTTCTCATTCCAATCCTACCTATCTTCTACTCCATTTTTCAAATAAATACTTTCATCTCATCCTCTATCCTTTATCACATTCTCTCTCTTCCTCTCACCTTTCTTCCTTTCTCTCCCACTCGTCTTTCTTTCTTTCTCTCTCCCCCTCTCTCTTTGGATCACTAAAATCCTCGTTTTTTTTTTTCTTTCTTCTCTTACTTTTAATTTTCATTCTAGGTTATTTAACTCTTTCTTTCCTCTAAATTTAATCCTATTACTTTAATTATTTAACTTTAAAACGTGATCACATATCTGTGACACACAAAATTTTCGTATCTCTTTTTATTTTAATTTTACACTTGGCCTCATTAAGTCACATTTACATTTATCCTTATAAAATAATTTGAACACTCCATAATCTAGCTATTTGTCATTAAAACCTACTCGTACTCTCCCAATCGTTTTTAAATAACCCACACAGAACCAACCTCTCAAACCATACATCACTTTTATTACTGAACACAAATGTGTGCATACCTGTGTTATGAGTACGTGATTTTGCATTTGTGCATTTGCTCATTTGTGCAACGTAATATGCATACATGCATTTGACCATATGTACTTATATTCAAAATATATTCATGTGATTTTAATTTTTGTCTAGATGTGTTTTACTAATTTGCAAATTTCTGTTTCAGTTCATTGTTTCTTACAACTTTCACCATTGTTAAGACATAATATTCAATTCAAAATATTTTCATTTCTTTTTTGTATTTTGAGTGCACTCAAATTGCTGACTTGTATTGTGTTCTTGACAGAGTATTGTCTTGGCCGTAAGCCGCCATTCAGATTGAAGTTTTACTTGGTTTACTCAATCACTTAAGGCGCATGCCGGGATGGTCCCTTGTTAGCAGTCCCAGGAAGTTGAATATATCGTTGACTTACAGGTGGGAGATGTTGGGTCAGATTTTCAGGTCTTGAGAGAATATTCTAATTGGTAAACAGTTCCTAAATTTCCATAATATCTACTTTTCTAGTACAGGGTTTAAATTGAAAATTTTTCCTACAATATGAATTGATTGTTTTTAATCCCCCTCTTTTTACTTAATTTAAAAACCAAATAGTTTTATTAAAAAAACATTCTTATATTATTAATATTATTGTTATGAAGTACAAGTATTATCACTACGAAATACTTTATTTTCCAACATTTTCAATTTTTCTCACGGGCTGAACTCTTGACTCCATGAGTTTTCGCTCGTAAGTTGACAATATTTCCTCCCTTTCTAGTCTTCTTTAGAAAAATTCAATAATACGTACGTAATCTTAGCTCCTTCGAAACCTCTGTGTGAAACATTTAGTAGTACTTAATAATATAGGAGTTGTGGTGCGTTATCGTTGGCATTTTTCATGAAATAATTATAAACGTTGTCATTGCCAACAATAGTATTTAAAATAAGAGCAGCTTTCGATGGCTTAGCCATCATCATCAGTTGTCTGCTGAATGGAAGCCACAAAACGACTGGTAGTCGTTGCTCTTATATTAAATACTATTGTGGGCAATGACAATGTTTATAATTATTTCAGTACTTAATAACCTGTCACTGACTGACCTGACACTTTGCTGAGTCACAAAATATAATTTATCTTAATTTTGAATAAATTCTCATCGCTTTCTAATATATTTATCATTAACTTTAACACATCCCTAACTTAAAATAAATAAATTTCATCTCACTCATAAATTTCATTTCATCAATGCTGTGAGAGTATTCCCTCTTCTATCTACTCCTTCCTCCCTTGCTTATATTCCTGTCTCCAATGTGCAAAACCCCCTCATGCAAATTGCGTGCGTATTTCTCTTTGAATGACCTTCTTTTCATTAACTATTGTATTACATTTTTTTTTGAAAATGGTCAGGCGGAAGAGCAGGCTAAATGGCCTGAGTCTTGCCATCAATAAAGACATTTATTTATATGAATCTATGTAATGGAGAAATATATGAAATTAAATGATGCTAACATTAAAAAAGTTATAGCTATTAAGATAATGAAATCAGACTCTATTTACCATTCATAACTGCTTTATTATTTCCCCTTGTCTGCTAGAAATGATTTTCCCCTCAACCATAGCTGGTTTTGTCTTTAAAATGAAATTGACTCGGATTCTGATGTCATGTCATCTTTGCATTGTGCATTCTAGACGTAGCTAACTTGTAAATCAATGTTTATCACGACACATAGATGTTAGAAATGTATAGTTATTAGGTCATTTTTGTGATTTTTACACATTTTGTTTTCTTTTCGCATTTTTTTTTTGTTAGTGAATGTTTCAAGAATTTACAATGACACACTAAAGCAAAGTTTTTATTGTATCAGTATTTTATGACTAAATTCATTACCGCACTGGACTCTGTTTTTCAAACTCTCAAAATTACACGGATCTTCGGTAACTTTTTCGACCTTTCAAAACTGATGGTTGGAAGATCAGAGCTAAAGATTCCTCCTAAAATAAATACTTTATATTATACTTTTATATAAATAAATTGTATTTAAAATTGTAAATTTTATTTATTAAATAAACATTTTTATACAAATAATTGAGTCATTTTTAAAAAATTAGGTCATTTTTACTTACTTTTAACTAATTTTCAAAGAATTGTCAGATCATCAGAATACGAGCCCTAGTAATGATGGTTTAGTGATAAAAAAATTAACTGTATGCAACCTACATACAGTATTATCAGTGGATTTTTTTGTTGAGATCCAAAATCTCTTCTCCATCCATTTACTATTCATAGTGAAATGATGAATAACAAAATTAAATAAGGTTAGGAACATCTGAATACTAGTCGTTTTGGCTCCCAAGTTATAGAAAACTTTTGTGCATTGCGAATGAATTCCAAATTTTTAAAATTTGTTTGTTTAAGTATAGCTAACAAAACAGAAACCCACCCCCAGCTCATATACAACTAATAAAAGGAGAGCTCCAAAACATGCACATGTAAAAAAAAGCTTCAATTATGCTTAACATCTTATTACTAAGAACTATTTTGATATTTTGTATCTCTACCTGGAATTCTTTTGTAAAAGGGACAAGGTCGTGACGTTATTTTTGATCTCTCAAGACATGGGAGGTTAGTACTTGCCACAGGAGTAGGAGATTGACTTGTATTTTTCTTGAAAAGATTTTTCCATTTTTCTTTCACATCTGGAAGCAGACATGAATTCCAGTATTAAGAAAACAAATATACAGAGTAAATTCTTCATAACAAAACAGAAGAACAAAGGAATTTGGTTCATGAAAGAAAGTTTTCATTACGTTTCATTTGTTTTCATTAGAGGGTGTATCAATGAAATTACAGAATTTTTTTCCTATTGAGAGTTCATTACTGAGAGTGAAAATAAATAAATATATATATAAACACACACACACACACACATACACACACACACACACAATTTCATGGCGTTGATAAACAGCAATTTGAGTTGCAATGCCAAATAATCTTAATTTCAGTGGCACTTTTAGTTAAAGTAGGTATACACACTTTGCTTTTTACGTACTAAGTTATGCACAATGCTCACCACCCCTTCCCAACTAAAGGTTCCTCTCATACGCCCCTAAATATCACTCGTTCCCTCCACAGTGGATTTCCCCCTCACCAGAGCGGCACAAAGTGCCGGTTTAAACAACTCCCTTAAGTTGTACCTTATACTAGACTTCATCCACACTTTTTAATAAAACATTTTTATTTATGCATGAAAAAATTGTACTTTCAGGTGAATTATGGAATACACATATACACTAAATAATCTTCATGTCTAAGAAAAAAATAAAGATAAAAAAGTGCTATTTTAGATCAAGTGATTGGTGGGACAAGTTTACATACAGTTTACTCACTTTAGAAAATTAGTACTCATTTCTATCACGTGCAGGGAAGATAAAGAAAAAAAAATTGACAAAATAAAAACAATCTAATAGTTAATTATATTGTGAAAAAAATTACCATTCTGGATCTCTTGAATGTTTTCTGTTAATTTACAAGTAGATATATCAAAAACATCTTCACATGAATGACTATTTTGAAAATCATATGAAGTTTCTCCTACAGCACATTTTCTTTGAAATTCATTCTTTTGATTAGAGTTCAACCACAATTTCTCTACTACCGTTTTCTCTGGAGACTTACATTCATTCAAACACATACTATCAAAATCAAAGCGTGCCAGAGTTTGGGCATGTACTTCATTCATATCTTGAAATCGATCATCTTTCCCAAAAACACACTTCACTTCAACAAAATGACAACATTTTCCAAGTATCAATTCAAATACTTTTACTTGAAAGCCAGAAATATAATTAATGCTTATCTGCTTCCAACCCTTTTCGTTGAAGGTTACATTTAATTCAATAGGATGTAGATTTAGAGCAGGAACTGTAGGTCCATCTTCAGACAAAAAATTCATTTTCACACAAGAATTAATGCTAGATATATTCATTGGGTTGTTAATGCAAATATCACAGTTCATGTCCAAGGCACCAAAGTTAATTGTCATCTTCTTTAAAGAAACAATTTCTTCAGAGTAAACAATTTGACCAGTCATATGAAAAACAAGATTATCAGGGCAATTAACAGTACTTTTCGATGTCACTGTTTCTGAAATTTTATGTTTTTTACTTTCCTTCTCATGACTAAAATTAGTAATATTAGTGTCAAAACTACTGATGTCTTCTTTTATCACAACTGATTCTCCCTGACATCTTGACAATGCTAACTTAAAATGAGAAAATGTATTAAAATGCAGATGTTCTTTGGCACTACACTGTAAACCTGCAGGGCATTCTGTGAAAGAAAAAGAAAATATAAATATGTTTCAATTCACACTAATTCATAACATAGGATTCAAACATAATAGGAACATCATTAGTTTTACCTTCAGCCTCATCTGTAGCACCTTGACAGGTTTCTAAATGGGCAAATTTATTCTGTTCATTTCCAAAAATAAATGGAAATTGACAGATAGGACACCGATCATCTACAAAAGAAAGATAAATTCCATTCAACTATTTCATTTTCCATGATGTTGGTGAATAGGATACATAAGGTGACCATTTTTTTTTAATGAAAAGGAGAGTGAAAATTTTTAAGAAAAAACGTAAAAGAAAATAAATTTCATGAAACATAATTAATTCAAACAAAAATACACTAAATATACTTACATCCTTTTTAATTATTTAATTAAACAATTATTTTTTCATTGAATGAATATGTTTTGTTAATATATCATTTTCTAACAATATATTGAAAATTTCAGAGCAAGAAATATTCTTCATAATGGATTTGACGGTAAGTGCTGCAGCTAGAGCATCAGCATTCAATTGTGATTTCTCACTTGATTAACTAGATTAACACATTAGTTTTAAAATATCGAAAAGGAGGACTGTGGGATGGCATTTTTCGAGGAAGAACAAAACCTACAAATGGAGGGCTGTCCTTTCTAAAGGAGGATAATTTGTCACCTTACATACAAGACTTAAGTGTGGAGATGGCACATGAACAGCTTTAATTTTTTTCCAGGCTAATAGTCAAAAGAAAAATAAGTACGGTGACGAAAAGTATCATTGCCTCAACTATGAAAAATTAAGTGGTCTGTATCGTAAATTTAATTGCTGGCTATGTTCCCATTGTTAACTACCTCTTGTAGAAACATTATATACAATAGTTCGTTGCATTGGGTAACAGTTGTAACCTAAAATGTCAGTAAATATGTATGGTGTATTATGACGCAGCGAAATCTCATAATCGAAAGTTTGTTAATTTTGGGCTAATTGAGTAGAAATAAACGACATAGATAAGTGAATATGTCACATCCTCGGCACATTATGTCGTGCTCATTATTCGTTTACATTGACTTGTTTCTAGAGAGAATGCCATGTACCAAATAAAAAATCAAATATTTAAGATTTACAAGACAAAATTCACCAAGTAACAGAAAATATAAATAGTGGAAAATTAAGTAGGAAAAAATATACTGATCTGTATGGAATTAGCAGGTCTATGACATGTACGAGTGTATTATGCCAATATTGTTGCTGAGCTTCCCAGACCAAACATAACAAGGAGAAAGCACTCTTTCCCTATCATATTTTATCACAATGTAAAACAGTTAATAAAACGTGTTTTAGACCAAGTTCTCAAAGCTGTATTTATTCCTGTTTAGTGTATTTCAATGCTCAAAAACCAAAGACAATCATAAAATTTGTTCTGATCCATATTTATGTTTCTGTTTTTCTATCCAACTCTTACACTTTTAAATATTCCAGAGACTTGAAATTAAATAGAAGTGGCAATGTTTGACCCCTGGGAGGTAACATGGTCACTTTGCATGCTTAAAAAAATAATAATGAAACCTTTCAAATTATGGAAGCTGGGACATCAATATTTTGAAAAAACATTGTACCATACTGAAGGATTACATTGTCAAAACAATTATTGTGATGACTGATGCAACAAAGTAGAACTTCAAAAGGAACAAAGAGGTGACAATGTTACCCCTGTTGGCTTATTCTCATCAAACCACAATTAAATTATAACAATCATTGAAAAAATTGAAATATTAAATTTCCATTAGAATATCAAAATAAAATAAATTTACTCATAATACTAACGTTGAACTCAATGACTTATAAGAACTACGTCAGAATGCAAGCAATATGAAACACGAATTCGTTGAGTGTTCTAACTACAAAAATTACAACAAAAATTATGCTCTAAATAATAAACAAGTGTAATTGATGAAAAGGCTTATTTAAATTACATACTGGACAAGGGCGACTCTGTAACCGATGACTTTGCCACCTTATTTCTTTTCCGTTTGATAGATTTGCTGAAATTCTTGAAATCATTATCCATCACGTCAGATGGATGAAATAACTATATTCTAGAAATCCACGTAATCACAAGCACAAAGAAATAATTGTGTTAATAAAAATACAACTAATTGTGATTGATAAAGGAGTACGATAAGAAAAATACATTTTATACATGCTTGAATGCATAACCTAACATACATCTTCCCGCCGTGATGTTAATGCATTTTTGTTCTTTAAGAACGGTCGTTCACGATTTAACTGGCAATCGAATTGAACGATCGGTTGTCTGAACGAAAATAATAATCGAACTGAACGACTGTTCAAACTCAGACAACAAAACTGTTGAAAACCGAACTGCTTGGAACCTAATTACCGGTTGGAAAGTTAAGTGTCCCAGAATGAAATGCAAGACGATTTCACCGTGGTGGAAATAACACCATGGATTTCAACCCTAATTGGTGAACAATTCCACGCTACAGTAAATGGTGTAAAGTGCAAAAAGAAAAATTTAACTTTGATATATTAGGTGATAAAATATTGAATATATTTGAAATATTATCTCTTTAACACCCGAGTCACAGTCAACAGAGTTAATAATAATAATAATAATAATAATAATAATAATAACAATAATAATAATAATCATAATAATAACAATAATAATAATAATAATAATAATAATAATAGCTTATATTGGCGAGGCTCGGCCATTCAGGCCCGCCTTCCGCTGACACATGTCACAACTGATTACAGAGTAATGTATTAAATTACAAAAAGTAATGTTTATTTAAAATTTAAATTTTATGTAATCTTCAAGTTGTAAGTAGTTAGTGGATAAGGCTAACGTTATTTTTAAAGCAACTTATAAATAGATAACATAGAGTTTAAATGGATAAAATGTTACAATAATTTCGAATAATTTTTAAAATCAGGTCTGAGATTGAAAAACAATTTGACATTACAATAAGATTAATGTGGCTTTAAATATCCTGCGCGCTACGCGGCAGCCTGGGTATTCACCCGAGCGACTTGTGATCTATTAATACAACAAGACAGACGTTTTCCTGGAGGAAAACGCGCTAGTCGGGAAAAATACCAAACTCAGCGCCAGACGTGTGTCCTAATACAATGGGAAACTAGAGCGCTAACATGTGTACAGCGGGTCTTTGGAATGGTATCCTCAAGCTGCGGATCATGCTGCAAAGGGTGGTTTTTTTCTTGTTTTAAACCGGCTCTGCTCCTACGGATGAAAGTACAGTTCGGCAGTAATCAAACAGGTCACAGAAGAAAGTAACATTTTTTTCTACAAAGAAACATTAATGTTATTTCTAAAAACATATTAATCTAACACTCCTAAGGAACATAGTTTTATTTGACCCGTAATACTACAGTGCATTTTAATAGCAAAATGGTGTATTTTTATTTTGTAAAAATCATGTAGGTGCAACTTAAAGATGTTAATGAAGAGGAAGCTTTTTATATTGGGGACAGGCAATTTATTCCATTCGCGGGCTACAGTAATTGCGAAACGATTATTGTAGTAGCTGGTTTTTGCTTTAAGGAATGGCAGAGTAACTGGGTCATTCCTGAAATCTAGATGATTTTAAAGACGTAAAAAAATAATTTGTTAAGTATGTCGGGAACCATTTTTAGGATCTTAATAACAAGACAAAGGCTGTGATACAAGCGCGGATCCTTTTAGTGTTAATATTTTTGTGCTGATTTATAAACTCCAGAGATGTGATCGTAACTTTTTTTTTGTTATACCAATGAAACGGAATACAGGAATTTTGAGCCCTCTGTAGCAGTTTTTGAGCGAGTGAATCTTCTTAAATTTGTTTATAACACATATCCGTTAGCTCGAAATGAGGACACAGCAGGGTTTTTACCCCAACATTTCTTTCGTATTTGTCGGCGAGACATTTATCGATAATATGCTACAGGGATTGCAAGAGCATAAACTTTTCGAAGACATTTTCGGATTCTTTGATATTCCCCAACTTAGATGATCATCAGAGTTTCAAGCCCAAGTTTTTGACTTTGGTTGTATGAACGAGGTACTCCAAAACATTGGTTATAGCACATCCAGGAACGCTTCAAATTTCCTATTGCATTTGAGAGAAGCCATTATGTGGTTTGTGATTTCTGTAAGGATTTAAATT